CACTGAGATCACACAGTTGGAAAAATTTTCAAAAATAGCTTGTGCCTCTTGATGTTGCTCCTGGGTGAACCCTTGTGCAGGAGTTTTAACCCCCACAATGAGACTGGGTTGTGTAAAGACGTGAGAGCTGGGGATCCTTCTCTTGGGTCCACGAAGAGCTGGACATGAGATACAGGAGAAGAAATCCCCTCATTCCCACTCAAAATAGCTCCCTGAATACTGTTCTGAACTGGATTCTGCCTACTGGCCAGGGTTGCCCACCTTGGCCAGGTGAAGTAATAGTGAAAGACAGAGAGATGAGACCCTGAGCAGCTGAACCAAAAAAATTCCCAAATTCATCTACGTGAGCAAAAAGTGCAGGAGCTCAATCCAAAAGGAGGAGCTTAAGGGGATTGGCTGCATTTCAGAGCTTGTTTGTGTTGATGTGTTTCCAACCACTGCTTTTTTTTCTGTCTGGGAACTTGAAAGAACCTGAGCAGGAGGTGTTTGGTTGGGTTTGGTTTGGTTTGGTTGGGTTTTGTCTCCTTGCAATGAGAAAACAGCAGCGCTCCCAACTCCCATCTCCTTTGAGCAGTCCTGATTCCAATAGTGAGTCACCACGGGTGCGATTGGAGCCAATCCCTGGATGGGCTGATCCAAGAGCCCTCCCGCGGGTGGGGAGGTGGCTGCGCTGTAGCAAGGGGGTGCTCTCACCCCAGTAGTAGAGATGTGGGAATATCCTGCACACTGGAAATGGAGCGTTTTTCCTGGGAAAAACCCTCGCTCCATGCATACCCAGCGACCCCCTATTTCACCATGGCAGGAACCTCAGCCATGAGACCTCTAGGCACTAAAAATAAACACAGTGATACTGAAAATAAATAAACTCTCTTCCAAGCATGGCAGATCCATGGAGATTTGCTTTCCTATGCCTGCCCATGTGAACTGGCACAACTGTGCCAGGAGCCTGTGGATGGGGTCCAGGCAGGGAACTTGCCTTTGACTCCCAAATCACTTATGCAAAGTCACACCTGGGAACAGGAGCACAGGTTTTAATTAAAGCACAGGGAAAGGATTCATGTGGAAGGGAGTCATTACTTCCCCAGCTCTTCTAGGAAAGCCTGTTGCTGCAGACAATGACAATTAAGTGGAATTTTACAAAGGATTTGGAAGAGCAAAGTAAATGATGATTTAGGCACCAAAACAAGGAAAATTCTTGTGGAATCTCTCAGTCCCTCACACTTTCCTTTCTTGGTTTGTGTCACTCACATGCAGTGTCCCACTGAAGGTGTTCAGGGCTTCAGGGAGACTGTGCTGGCCTCTCAGGCGGGACACTTCCCTGTGGAGAGGCAGGGCATGTCATGGGGGGTTGCTTGGGGGGTGAGAACACTGCAGAGAAGGGAAGGAGGAACAGGGCTCCTGTCTGCAGGAGCTCAGCTGCCTCTGAGCTCAATTTGCTCTTTTTTCAGAAGGGACTGGAAAAAAGATGCTAAAAACGCTCCAGGTTGGTTAAGGCTGGGTTGTCATGAGCTGTGTTAAATCCTCGCACCCAACCTGTACAATTTTGGCGAGATCAGAAATCGAGGTGACTCAGAGGTTTTTTTTAAACTTTCACTGTTTTTTTGGCCTGTTTGCAACATCCTCTGGACAGCAGGGACTGAGGAGTCTTGGTGGGTGACAGGTTGACCATGAGCCATCGTCCCTGCAGCCAGAAGTAATGGAATTCCCCATGGAAATTCCCTGGGATGCCTCGGGAAGAGCGTGTCCAGCAGGTCAGGGGAAATACCCTGTCCCTCTACTTGGTCCTGGTGGGGCCATATCTGGAGTGTTGTGTTCTACTCTACAGTTCCAGAAGGACAAGGAGCTCCTGGAGAGGGTCCAATGGAAGCCACAAAGGTGATGAGAGGTCTGGAGCATCTCTTTAATGAGGAGAAATGGCAGGAGCTGGGTGTGGTCAGTCTGGAGAAGAGGGGACTGAGAGGGAATCCCAACAATCATAGGAATATCCAAATATCCATAAAAATATCTCATTTGAGAAGGTCTCTCATCAATCCATGTGAACATCTCCAAGGGGTGGCAAGAGGATGATGTCAAACTGTTCAGTGGTGCCCAGTGACAGGACAAGGATCCCAGAATTCCTGAGGTGGGAAAAGTCCTCTAGGATCATCGAGTCAAATCTGTGCCCAATTCCCACCTTTTCACCAACCCAGAGCACTGAGTGTCACATCCAGTCATTCCCTGCACACCTTTAGGGATGCTGATTTCACCACCTCCTGGGCAGGGAGAAGTCATAGCCATAAAACTAAAACACAAGAAATTCCACCTCAACATGAGGAAGAACTTCGTTCCATAGAGGTGGCAGAGTCCTGGAAGAGCTGCCCTATGGGAGGGCATAGATTGTCCCTCTCTGGAGATATTCCAAGCCCACCTGGACACCCTCCAGTGTTACCTGCTCCAGGTGTCTGTGCTTTGGCAGGGGGTTGGACTGTATGAGCTCCAGAGGGCCTTTCCAGCCCCAGCTATCCTGGGATTCTGGGATTCTGAGTCCAGTTTTGCCCCTGGTTTTGGTGTTTCACTGAAGTTCCTTTGATTTCCTAGGCAAAGGGGATGAGATATTGCTGTGTGTTGGTGCATCTGGGTTTGAGCGAGGTTTTGCTGAAGTGCCTCCTTTGAACTTGCCAGGACACGCTGGCGTGTGTGTTCCTGCTCCTTCCCATGTTCCTGCTCCAAGTTCTGCCTGGAGTTATGCAGGACCAGGATGTTGCAAGGTCAGGGCAGAGCAAAGCATCTGAGCCTTTGAAAGTCAATAAGGGCTTTGCAATAATGTTTGGCTGAGGGCTTTTTCTCCACTTTTTCTTGGTTTTATTCTCCTTTTGCAATGCCTGACTGAAATATCTGGATCAATGCTGTTGTTGTGCTCCAGCACCCATCCCCAACCCAGATCTTCCAGATAAAGCCTCCTCAAGAGCCTTGCAGAAACTTGGGTTTGCTCTGGCTTTTTAAGAAAGCAAAAATTAAATCATGAGGTTTTTTTCTGGCTGCCCCAAACCTTCCCTTCTATCCCCCAAACCTTCCCTTCTATCAAAGAAAAGCTTTTGGATTAACCCAAATAAGTTAAGAAATGAATGGTGATTATTTATCTTGTCACTTATGGATAAATCTCCAGCCTCCTTCTTTTCCTCCTCTTCCTCCTTCAGTTTTCTCCAATTCTTCAATTAATTTTGGGACAACCGATTTCAAGATTTTCATTATAATTTAATCAGAATTTCAAAGCTTTTCCCTGGAAGTAAAACAAATACACGTCCAGCTCATTCTGATGAAGGTTGTGAGTATTTTGTACTGCTGGTTCTGGTTTAGAATAAAAATATAAATAAAAAGAACAAATAAGTTACAATCTGGTTTTATTGGACATGTTCCAAATAGTGAGAGGAAGGGAAACATGGCGACGCATCACTATTACAGAAGTATAAAAAGCTGCAATTTTCTTTTTTAATGGTACTTTCCAAAAATAAAAAGACACTGTGGAAGGCTAAAGGGGTAAATTCCATCAGAAAAGGGCAAAATAGATTTGGGACACTGGAGTTCCTTAGGAATCCTGTTCTCAACTGTGTCATTTCTCACACACTGGTCTGGAACCTGCTGCACTTCCCAGTTTCCCAAAGGTCTTTCTTTTGGCAGAGAAAACCACACAGAGAGGAGGTGCTGGAATTCCCCCACGAGCTGTGTGGACATGACCCTTCAGGCAGCTTTTCCAGTGTGATTTCACAGTCTCAGACTTTCTCCACCTGCTGCGACTAAGGCTGTGGGGAAAGACTTGGAATGCTGGAGGGTTTGGGAATTTTTGAGGACATTCCAGCAAAACCTTGTATGGGACAGGACAGAAACCCCATTTAACAGCAAGCACTGATCTTGCTTTTGAAGGACTCATTGTATCAGACATTATTTAGAATTTTAAAATCCTATAATTTAGAAAATAAGCCCTTTTTTATAGGTTTTGGACCAATCACTGGTGAATCCTCTGACAAAAAACCACTGCCGAGATTATGTGTTAGGGCTGCTGTGGGCAAACTCATTTAAGAAGAGAAAGGACAGGAATGGGAGAGTGATTGTAGAAAAGCTTATTGATAAGCTTGTGACACATTGAATTCTCATCTGTGGGTGGAGGGAGCTCAGGCTGCTGCTTGAACATTAGAATCCAAATCTCTGATCAGGCTCAAGTGCCTGGGCTGACTCAGCAGCAAAACTTGGAAATATCTGGAAGAATCATATATTTCAAAACTTGGCTGTGAATGGAAGAAAGAGAGGTTTTCCACTTCACCAGAGTGACTCAGAATGAAGGATATTTTAAGAGGGACATTACAAGCCATTGTCTGGGATCTTAGAGTAGCCTCCAGGGGTACTTCTAGATAGCAGAAAAATAACACAGACCTCTGATGCAGATGAACTTCTCTTGTGAAGGAGCAAGTTGGGCTCATTCCAACAGTGAAGGCAAAGCAGAGTGAGTTGAACACACATTTCCAGCCCATCCCTGGGCTTCTGGGGGCCAGAATTGAGGTAAAACTTTTCCTGCTATTTGCTCTGTTTTAGCTGATAGCTGTGGGTGGCCACAATCACAAACTGCTTGGTCTTATTAAAAACAAACAAATGGAAAACCAAACCAATTCCCCATTCAGAACAATCACTTAGGCCCATGTTTTCCTTTAACTCCTGTTCCAGGGACTTGGAGAGCTTTGGTAACTGTGTGTTCCACTGCTTTTCTTGACCTGAGATCCAAATGTGTGAGAACTACGGAGCAGGAGCAGGGCAGGGGCAGCTGGAGGGGTGGAGGTTGGGGGAGAATGGTGGGCAGGAGGAACAGAGGAACCATGGGAGGGTCTGGGCTTGGCTTCACTCAGACTCTGTGGCATTCTTCAGGCTTTGGCTTTTTATGCTCTTTTTGCTGGAGGAGGTTTTAGAGACGATTTTCACACCTGGGTTGGTGCCTTTTGCACTTCCAGAGCTGAAATTCCCTCCGCTGGTGCTCAGGGTGCTGCTGCCACCTCCTGCATGGCTGTAGCTGCCAGCAGTGCCCAGACCACTCCCTCCTCCAAATCCACCTCCATGACCACCTCCAGCCCCGAGTCCAAGTCCTCCTCCGCTTCCAAAGCTGTAGCCTCCTCCTCCTCCACTGCCAGCTCCAAGACTGAAGCTGCTCCCACCAACTCCTCCAAGGCCAAAACCACTTTCAGCACCTCCTCCAAGACCAAAGCTGCTCCCACCACCTCCTCCGAGGCCGAAACCACTTCCGCCTCCTCCTCCACTCAGGCTCAGTCCACCAAATCCTCCTCCTAAGCCAGCTCCACCAGCAATGCTGGAGCTGGAGCTGATGACTGCTGCAAGGAAAAGCAACCAAAAGATTGAACATCTGCATGGCAGTCATGGAATCATGGGATGGGCTGGGCTGGAAGGGGCCATAAAAGTCATCCCATCTTGGCCCCTGCCATGGGCAGGGACTCCTTCCATTACCCCAGATTGCTCCAAGCCCCATCCAACCTGGCCCTGGGCACTTCCAGGGATGGGGCAGCCATAGCTTCTCTGGGGAGTCACCCAGTTCCAGGAAGCATCATCATCATCATTATCAGAACCTTGACCCACAGGACTTAAACCCAACTTCCACCCCCTGCGCAAGCCCCTAATGACAGTGAAGGGCTCCAAAAGTCTTATGTGGGGCCAAACTTCCCTTTTCCCAAGGTTTCTCCCAGGCCTTGCTCCCAAAGCCAGACTTTGGGGTCCAGAACTGCGATACTTACAATAGCTGATGGGGTTCAGTCCCTCCCCGCTGAGCCTGTTGTGGGTTAAGAAGAGATTGGAAGAAAATTATGGAGACAGGCAGCGGGACCAACCTCTGATGGGAAGTGTGATAGTCACTATTATCCTCACAAAGATTTTGCTCCTACCTGCTCTCCTCGCCCTCCAGCAGCTTCCTGTAGGTTGCGATCTCAATGTCCAGGGCCAGCTTGACGTTCATGAGCTCCTGGTATTCCCGGAGCTGCCGAGCCATGTCAGCCTTGGCTTTCTGCAGGGCATCCTCCAGGTCAATCATCTTTGCCTTCGCGTCCTTGAGGGCCATCTCCCCACGCTCCTCAGAGTCTCCGATGGCCGTCTGCAGGGTGGCACACTGCAAGGGATGGGGGGCTTGGAAAGCTGCTCTTCCCTTTAGGTGAACTGGGATGTTCATGGAAAATGTACCAGCTGAGCTAACATGGCTGGAGTTGAAATGCCAGGCTGGCAAGGACTTAATAGTTAAATTTTACAGTGTGAAGTCCTTTCCAGGAGGGATTTCAACACCTTCAGTGAGGCTGGAAAAGCCCCTGATCAGCAAAGCTGAGCTGCAGTGTTGATGGACAATAGAATGGGGCTCTGTTAGCTCCTTTTGCCATTCCTACCTGGTTCCTTGTGTTCTCTATCTCGGAGCGGATCCTTTGGATGAGCCGGTTGAGCTCTGAGATCTCACCCTTTGTGTTGCGCAGGTCATCACCGTGTTTCCCAGCTGTGGCCTGCAGCTCCTCAAACTGAGGAGGAAGATGTAACCTGAACTGTCTGAGGTGTCTGGCTGGACAAGACATGGTTCAAACAGCCCCTCTTAAGGAGAGCAGGGATTTCCTGTGGAAATGATGGGTCAGCTCACCTTGGTTTGGTACCAAGCCTCGGCCTCAGCCCGGCTCCGGTTGGCGATGTCCTCGTACTGAGCTTTGACCTCTGCAATGATGCTGCTCAGGTCCAGGTCCCGGTTGTTGTCCATGGACAGGATGACGGCGGTGTCGGACACTTGGGCGCTGAGCTGAGCCAGCTCCTGTGGGTAGCACATGGGAACTGCACTTACCTCTCCCAACCCTCAGAGTGGTAGCAGTCCCCAGCCAAGGATAACAGCAGGACAGGAATCAGGGATTTGTCTGTACCGCCTCATAGAGGGCTCGAAGGAAGTTGAGCTCATCACTCAGGGCGTCCACCTTGGCCTCCAGCTCCACCTTGTTCATGTAAGCAGCATCCACATCCTGGAAAAGAGCAGTTGTGGGGACACCTGTGGCACCTGGATCCTCTTCTCAGCCAGGAAGAAGTCCTTTGGCACAGCCAAGGAATGGCCAAGCCTGGAGATGAGGCTGTCCCTTTCCCTGCTGCCTGGTAGAGAAGCTGTGCTTGGCACATCTGGCTGGAAGAGCACCAAAAGGGCATCTCGTGCTCTGGAAAAGTGCTGTGTGTAATTTGAAAGTGGATAAGGAGGGAGGTCCTGGCTCTTTGGTACCTGGGATTCCCAGCATGACTGATCCCCTTTGTCTCTACATGGCTTGTTTTGCACCTCTGTGTGTTGTGGGACAGGAGTGGGAGGAGATTTTGCTTCCCTCCTACAAGCCACTCCATTCCTTTCCCACAATACCATGATCAAATGATGATTTAAAGCCCTTCTAAAGGATGAGGATGCAGCTCCATGAGATCTCCCATCCCTCAGGATATTCCCAGTCCATGATATGGTTGGGGTTGGCTCAGTATCTGCAGCACCTCCTGTCTCACCCACCTTCTTGAGCACCACAAATTCATTCTCTGCTGCCGTACGCCGGTTGATTTCCTCTTCGTATCTGCAGGGATAAAGAGAAAGAGGTGCTGGATCAGACCTCAGGAAGCAGAACAGGTGTCCAGGTAGGACTGCAAGATGATCTGGACTGTGGGTGGCATCTCCAAATCAGCCTCCTGGGAGCTGTCCAGCTCGAAAGTGTGAGATTCTCATTTCTCTAAAGGTGCAAAGGACATTTTTGACTTAATGCAGATAGAACAAGGAAGGTAAAGCTGGTTTGGAGGATTTTCCTTTTCAAGAGCCATTTCAAGGTGCTGTGTCTTGGCAGAATCTCCAGTTTTTGATGGGAAAAATGTCGATGGACCCTTTTTGGTGCTGTTGAGGAAAATGGGTCCTGCAGGGAGAGATACCTCTGAGCAAGAAGTCTTGGAAGTGATTAGTGATGCTCTATGTTATGGGTCGGACCACAAACCAGAGACACTTTTTCCCCTTTCCTGGAGAAATTTCCATTAATACTTCTGACTGGATGTTTGACTTTCAGAAATCAAAATTTTTGAGATGAATCATAGAATCTCAGAACTATAGAATCATAGAATCATAGATAAGTAGAATTATAGAATCATAGAATCCTAGAATTATAAAATTATGGAATCATAAATTCAGCTGAGTTGGAAGGGACCCATGAGGATCATTGAATCCAACTCCTGGCCCTGCACAGGACACCCCACCAATCCCATCCTGTGCCTGAGAGCATTGTCCAAACATTCCTGGAGCTCTGGTAGCCATAGGGCCATTCCCTGGGGAGTCTGTTCAGTATCTGGTCACCCTCAGGGTGAAAACTCCTGCTGCTCAATATTCAGCTGAACAATTTACACCCTCTTTCACACTCACTTGTTCTTGAAGTCCTCCACGAGGTCCTGCATGTTCTTCAGCTCCCCATCCATGCGTCCCCGCTCATTGAGCAGGTTGGCCAACTGCCGCCGCAGGTTGTTGATATAGGCCTCGAAAAGTGGGTCCAGGTTGTTCTTGCCAGAGTTGTTTTTTTGGCCCTGCTCCTGCAGAAGAGTCCATTTGGTCTCCAGCACCTTGTTCTGCTGCTCCAGGAAGCGAACCTGAGTATTGGGAAGCAGAAGAGACTTAGGCAGAAGATACCTGTGAGCTGACAGCCAGTATTCAATAACTGAGTGATACATGGCAGGAGCCAAGGATTCCCAAACTAAGAGTTTCCAAGCTGGGAATATCCAGTGGATTATCCAGGGCTGTGTTAGCCCAGCCTGTAACTGAGCAAATCCACCCTCAGTGGACAGTTCTCTTCAGAGGCAATTTAATTTAGGAAGCCAGAGAGTGATAGTAAGAAGTTCAGCTCTTTCTTCTCCAGACAGTAAAGTTCTTCTTTCACACCCTATGGTATTTCTTTCTTTGTAAGATATTTATCTTTCTTCATTAAAGCCATGGTCTGAATACTAACGCTAAAAGGCTTAATTGCCTTTCCTTTTGCTCACTCATACAACATATTTATCCAATTAAAAGCCAAGGATGGACTTGAGTGGTTGAGTCAATTGAGTCAGTACAAAAATGATTTAATCTTGCAGGCAATAAACAACAAAGACCAACACATCTGCTGTTGCACATTGCCCAGAGAGAGAGCTGGGTTGAGCCAGTAGACCTGGACCCAAAACTGACTTACTCCATTTCAACTAATCTGTGTTATTTCTCAGGCACAAAACCTGGATCTAGTCACATTACTACAATTTTCTTGTTTTGTTTTCTCCCCTGTAAACATTCACAAGGGTGTTACTGTTTGAGGGAATTAACGAAGACATGCAGGGAGGAAATGAGTGAAAGACTGGAGATCTCTGAAGTCGTATTTTTGTACTTACTAGATCCTCACTCGCCCTCTACCACAGATGCACAGCACCCAACGAAGTCTCACCTTGTCAATGAAAGAAGCAAATTTGTTGTTGAGGGTCTTGATTTGCTCCTTCTCATCTTTCCGCACCTGTTGGATGTTTGGATCTATCTCCAGGTTCAGTGGTGCCAGGAGACTCTGGTTCACAGTCACTTCTTGAATTGTACCCACTCCAGATGGGCCACCAGAAAATCCCACTGGGTTCCTGCCACCACCCAGCCCTGCAGGGAATCCTCCCAGCCCCCCCAGTCCACCAAAGCCAAACCCTCCGCCACTCCCATGCCCACCACTATAGCCAAGCCCACCAGCAGCACCACCAAAGCCAAATCCACCACCTGCACCACCAAGCCCCAGCCCAAGCCCACCACCAGCTCCACCACCACCAAATCCACCTCCTCCACCACCAAGCCCCAGCCCAAGCCCACCACCAGCTCCACCACTGCCAAACCCACAGCCACCCACTCCACTGCCACCTCCCAGAGCAGAGCCACCAGTAGCTCCGCCTCCAAAAGCAGCTCGGAAGCTGCTTCCAACCCCGATGGAAATCCTCTTGCTACCACCAAGGTTGTAAAGGCTCCTGCTGCCAAAACCTCCACCACCGCCAGAACTTCTGCTGCCACCTCCTCCAATGAGCCTCCCAAAGCCACCTCCTCCTCCTCCCGATCGTGCCACAGACACAGAGCTAAAGCCAGCCCTGTTGCTGCTTGGAATTATGGCTGAGGCAGCACTGTAGGATCGGCCTCCACCTCCTGCCCTCATGCTGAGCGTTCGGTTCATCACAACAGCAGAGAAGGGCCCTGCACAGCCAGAGAGACTCCACAGCTCCCTGAGGAAAGGGAATACGGGTACCCTTTTTATACCTCAGGGATCTGGGCTTGGTTGCATGGAAGTCCAGTGATCAATTTAGTGCCTTCATGGTTTTGACATGCCAGGAGGCAGCTGTCTCACTGAGACTTGTTAAATCCTGATTGCACCCAAACACACCTCCTGGGGCTGGATCCACTCAGCCGGAAGAGTTATCTAACACCCAGATTTCTGGCAGGGAGAGCTCAGCCTGATGCAAAACTTCTGTCTCCTCACAGAGATGGGTTCTTTTATTTTGTATTATTTTGCCTAACCCTCGAAGTGTCCAAGGCCAGGCTGGGAGGGACTTGGAGCAACCTGGATTAATGCAAGGTGTTCCTGCCCATGGAGGTGGGGGGATGGAATGAGATGGTCTTTGACATTCCTTCCAACCCAAACCATTCTGGGATTCCATATTTTATAATTCCCTCACTGTGAAAGAAAATAATTTTAAAATAATATAAAGCCAGAAATAATGTCTTGCATTTCCAATTCTACTTAAAAGATGAAGCACATCAACACAGAGATCAGTGAAGAGTCCTCTGGACTAACTCCAAAGTGAAAGACAGTGAAAACAAAATGTTTGAATCTGAACAAAAATAATTACTGGGGTTTCTTCACCTGAAGGAAGAAGGCAGCTTGATGTTCATGAAACCTGACATCCCTTTTGAGGTTCTAATTTATCCAGTCTGCTGTTCCTACTCTCTGGGCAGGGACATCTCTTTGGGATGACTTGACAAAGAGGTCCTGATCAAGTTTTCCTCTTTCCCCTTTCCATATGTAAATATCACCTCAAATTATTCCCATTTATATTCATTATTTAGCCTATGGCAAGTTTTCTAGGCTTTTCCTTTGGATGTTTGCATTTCCAGAGTACAACTCCATTCCATGCAGAGGCTGTGTTATCTCCAGCTAGCTGATGATGTGATTGACGTATTTTCATCTTGACCTAAAAAACATTTAACAAAAAAAAGAGGGGCAGATTTTCTGAAAAACTCTCTGGCCAGCTCTGTGGAATGATGCCATTTTCCCACTTTAGGATGTTGTCAGTCCTGAGTTTCTGGCTCTCTCTAGCTCTGATTTCTTTTAAAGACCTTTGAACCTTCCATCCAAAACACTCCAAAAGCAGATTTAACCAGGATGAAAAATACTCCCACAAATTCTCCTTATTTTACTTCCTGGAGTCCTTGGGAAAAAATGATCAAATTCAACAGAGTGTGGTGACATTTTCTGGCATGTCAGACTTTGCTGAACTGCAGTGTTGAGAGTATTTTATCCCTCGCATGTCAGAGCTCAGCTGGTTTTTGGCATGGGGCTGCCCTGGTGGCTTGGCCTGCACTCTGCAGGACTGGACCTTAAACAGGACTCTACTTGCCCTTCAAAACACATCCCTGTGTCCCAGTGCTACAAAGCCATTAAGGAGCTAAAATTCCACTGGCATCTCTGGAAGAACAATTAAACAGGTGCTACGAATACAGAAGACCAAATATCTTATTATCCCTGAAGAAATGCTGTCAGGCAGGCTCAAATGGGAGAGTTGGGGCACTGAAAGAGAATTTCCCTTTGCAGTGAGAAATTATTCCCACATGGTGCAGGTCAGCTTGTTTCTTTTTGGAAAATGTGGGTATGAATCTGGAATGTAATTTGAAATTCATAAACATCCATTGCCTTGATGATTTGCATAAAATTCAAAGCCAGGGTGTGATGGGAAAATTAGATTTTGTCTTCATGGTTCCTTGACCCCAGTAAAGGCAACTTGTCCTGAAGCTGAAAAACGGGTTCAGATCAGATATTAGAGCTGAGTGAATGTAATGGGATTAAAGGTGGGGCTGCCAAGAAGAAAGAAGGAATTGTCACTTTAGGCTCCCATACTGTTCTCCCCTTGGCTTGTTATCCACCGGGTATGTGAGCGATGCAAAGGCCACCTGAAAAACACTCCCTTTCCTTCTCGGGGTGGCTGGTGGTGTGGAGGAGCCTAGGGTTTGGGCTCCAAACACAGAGGCAGATGTGGCATTTTCATCTGTCTGTTTGGATCAACTCTGCCAGGCTCTGGATTCAAGCTGAAAGAGGGGAAAGTTGAAGTTAAATATATGGAAGAAATTCCTTCTATGAGGGTACAGAGGCCCTAGAATGGATTTCCCAGAGAAGCTGTGGCTGCCCCATCCCTCCAAGTGTCCAAGGCCAGGCTGGACAGGGCTTGGAGCAGCCTGGGATAGTGGGAGGTGTCCCTGGCCATGGCAAGGGGTGGAATGAGATGGTTTATAAGATCCCTTGTAACCCAACCATTCCATGAATCCATAGTTTTAGACTATCAATTTACAAAAGGGTCTATCAAGACTGACACTGTGCAGGATTTGACCTCCATCCACCCCAAACCCACATTCCCGGCATTTTTCTCTCCAAAATATCCTGATCTACATGAACATCTTCACGCAGGCAGCAGCAAACGTGGGTTTTGCACTAGTTGGAAGTTGAGGACAGGGATGATTAAAGGTTTTCTCCCAGAAGTACAAGAGCTGCCAGACTGCTTTTATCCCCTGGGGTGTTTGCCTGGTGTTTGGTGTTCAGGAATTGCTTTGCAGGGAGATGATCAACATAAATTATGAGCTGTTGGGGCACTGGAAGCTTCTTGTTTGGGGTGTTTCTGCTTGGTATTTACATAGAAATGAGATGGAGCCCGAGTCGTGTTCATGGAGCAGAAAAGATGAAGACAACATTTCCAAAAACATCTTTAGTTGGGTGAGTTTTGCTTTCTCACCAAAGGCTGACCCACTTGGCTTTCACCACCCCTCAGCCACTGTAGCATTTATTAAAATAGAATTAGTGCTCTGCTTCCTGTTGATCACATCCAATATACCATGAGGGGAGCTGGAATGCCTGATGCTGGGAGAACAGCAGAGGCTGGAACTCATACTGTGGTGTGTTCATCCCCACCCTGCCAGTGAGGACAGACCAAGTCTTGGATGGGGGCTGAGCTCATTTTCCAGCCCTGAAGAGGTTGAGGGAAAGAAGCCATGAGTCAGCAGGGAAGTCTTGGAAGTGGAGTGGGACATGGGGGAATAAATTACAGCCCCTGGTTTTTGGTGAGCCTTTCATGGGCAGATGAACCTGCCCACACCTTGTGCTGTTCCAGGCTGGACAAGGACATGGGGATTTCTCCAATGGTGATGCAGAGATGGCTCAGGGGCTGTTGGCTGTGCCATGGGGAGCTGTGGGAAGGGAGGAGCAGCAGGGCTGGTTGGTTTTCCCGTGATTGCCGCTGTGCATCCAGCTGGGTTGAGTTGTCACCATGGCAATGTCCTCCCAAGTTGTAGAGACCAGTGGGTGACTGTCCAGGAGAACTGGGAGCCCTGCAGAACTCCAGAAGCATTGGGACAACACTCAAGCGTCTGGTGGGATTTTTGGGGTGTCCTGTGCAGGGCCAGGAGTGGGATTCACTGATCCTTGTGGGTCCCTTCCCACCCAGGATATTCCGTGATTCTATGACACTCATACAGAAAAAGGAGAGGACTGTGTGATTTCTCCTAAATCCCAGTTTCCTAAGATTGTGTGTGTGTGTGAGAGAGGGAGAGAGAGGGGGTTTTTTCTCCCTGGAAGGGATGATGGAGGGACATGTCCAGCCACATCTCCAGACCCTGCTCTTTGTGTGAGTTCACATATTTTAAGGAATGTGAGGATTAGGAAGAAGCCCCGGGTGCTACATTTTGGGAAACTGAATTTTCCTCTTTCTTCTAAAATCAGCCTACTCTTGTGAGAGGACTTCATGGGTGTGGTGTGGGATTATTTTCCTGTTACTGCCTGAGCTGGTTCTCACTGATTTCTTTAAACAAGGGTCTGGCTGCCTTTTTGTTCTGTCTCCAGAGATCCCAGATGCTGTGAGAGATCCCAAGCAAACTGCATGTCCCACAGATGGTTAAGTAGCCTGCTTTCCAGACTTCCTTGCGGCCACAGTAATCAGTGGATGGAATAAAGGTATGCAAAGGTGCTTCAGGAAGGAGAGCAGACAAAAACTTCTTGAAGCTCCAAACTCCACCCATTGGGAGATTCAGGTTTGAGGAAATTTCTATGATTTGCAATATCAGGTAGGGAAATAAAGCCCAGGCAGTGCAGCATGAATTATGCATGGAGTTTATTGAAGGTACAGCTGAAAGTCTGGAGTAAGCGAAGGGTAATAACTCTGTTCACTTACACATTAAAAGCTTTAACTCCGTCTATTGCACACAGGACAAACAACGCATGCATTTAACTACAGAAATATAAGGTGCTCGTTGGGGTGTAATTAAAATCTGCTCTACCAAACGCAGTGTAGCAACCTGGGCCAATTTACATAAGCATTCCCAACACTCTTGTAAACAGGAAAAATTGGATTTTCTGCTGTCATTAAAGATGTTAAATTACAGCTGCAGCTTTGTCTTGGACAATTAAATTGCGGCTTCTCTCTCTGAAGTTGGAATGACCAAATTTTTCATCTTTTTGCAATAGCTGCATTACGGAAAGAAAGTCTCTGCTGGAAAGGGGTCAAGCAGGGCAGGGTGATTGAAAAGCCAGGATGATGTGTGGAGACAGGAATGCTCTCTGAAATGAAAATCTCACCTGGCTGAGGGGGGCAGGGGAGGGTTTCCCCCAAGAAAGACATCAAGGAGAGGGTGGATTTTGTTTGGCAAAGGGTTTAGGCAGAGCGATGTCCTAGCGCATGGTTGTGTGATCCCTGTGGCTGCCAGAGGGAGGGGGAATACTGTTTTATTGCAGAAATGCTGATTATTATAAAATCTGCCTTGTCAGGCCTCACTGGTCTCTACCGGCTCGTCCTGACCACGCGTACGGCTGTGCTGAACCTGTTCCCACAGACCCCCGGGGGCCCGGGGATGAGCACGGGCCCGGCCCCGCACTGCTCCACCCCCGCGCACACCACGTTG